GGGCTGTGGGTTTTCTTTAAGTAAATGAAACAGTTCACTCATCTTTACAGCAACATGGCTGACAGCTCAGAACAGTACTCCAATAAGTGGGGGAAGGCAGCTGTTGGACAAAGGGAAAAGCCATTGTTTTTGTAATTATAAAAGCAACATATGCTTATTGTTTCTGGAGGTTTGGATGTGCCATTTCACCCAGCCTCCAGCTGCTTCTCCTATTGTATACAGATTCAAAGAGTCCACTGCAGATCAAAATACACTATGAATTTGCGTGTGTGTGCACGGGTATGTGCGTGTATGTGTGTGTGAGTGTGTGAGTGTGTGTGTGCATGGGTGTGTGCGTGTGTATGTGTGTGAGTGTGTGTGTGTGTGTATGCTCGGTCGTGTCCAACTCTTTGAGACCCCATGGACTCTAGCTCATCAGGCACCTCTGTCCATGGGATTCTCCAGGCAAGAATACTGGAGTGGGTCGCCATTTCCTTCTCCAGGGGATCTTCCTGACCCAGGGATTGAACCTGCATCTCTTGCATTGGAAGGCGGAATCTTTACCACTTGTGTACCACACTATGAGGCTGCCTACCTCTGAAAGGGTGGTTTCTGCTGCATTCCATCAAAGGACACAACTTAGGTCAGGGTAGAAGTGAGCCTTCCTTCTATCTCTAAAGCCTCATCTCCCCTCATCTCCCTACCTGTTCTTGCTAGCCAAGACTGGGGGGACCCATCTTGGGGAGGCTGGGGCTGCAGAAGACCATTGCTTGGAATATTCCTCAGAGGGATGGGTAGGATTACCCACCCTTAACTGAGGGAAGACAGTAAAGCTGGCCTCCTGGCCATTCCAAGGACCCTACCCTCGCCCCAGTCAGCAGGGACCAGAGGTTGCCAGGGCCTGCCCGCTCCTTCCCTCCTTGCCCTGAGAAGATGCTTCCATGCGGAAAAGTGAGGGATTAAATGCAGGGGGGAGGTGTTTGCCTGTCTGCACAGTTACCTTGTGAAAAGACGAGGAGGAGGAGAAAGGAACTCCCTTTCCCCACCCACTATACACAACAGTCACAGCAAATAGAAAACTACAGAGTCTCCACCAGACAAAGACAACTGCTATCTACATTCCAGCACCTTCGGTCCAGGGTGCTTTCTGAGATGCCTGGATTTACAGTCATCAGCAAGCCAAGTTCCATACACCCCGGCGGTGGATGGACCCTTGTTTATCAAGTCCCCTATTTCTTCTTCTCTCTTATCACATTTTTCCCCAAAAGAGATAAAAAGACCAAAAAATGCCTGAGAATAGGGATTGAGTCCAGAGCTGGAGATACAAAACAATAAAATATGAAAATTACCTTGGAAGCATATTTTACAGCCGGAGGATGGTCTGTATTTGACCAGCACTTTCACCATCATCTACCAGTGAGATTTGGAGCACTCTAGCCTATTGTCTGGAGAAGGCAATGGCACCCCACTCCAGTACTCTTGCCTGGAAAATCCCATGGACTGAGGAGCCTGGTGGGCTGCAGTCCAAGGGGTCGCTAAGAGTTGGAGACAACTGAGCGACTTCACTTTCACTTTTCACTTTCATGCATTGGAGAAGGAAATGGCATCCCACTCCAGTGTTCTTGCCTGGAGAACCCCAGGGATGGAGGAGCCTGGTGGGCTGCCGTCTATGGGGTCGCACAGAGTTGGACATAACTGAAGCGACTTAGCAGCAGCAGCAGCCTATTGTCAAGTATTTCTAGAATCTCTATTTTTCTGCTTCTATTTGGAACAACAATTTACTCTGTAAGGAAAGTCTTCATGTTAACTCTAAAAGCATATTTTAAATGACATTGTCTTAGGAGACAAAAAGAGAGAAAGAGAGACAAAGAAAGTCAGGTGAATGCATGCTTGTGCACGCTCCATTGCTCAACTGTGTCCGACTCTTTGTGACCCCATGGACCGTAGCCACCAGGCTCCCCTGTCCCTGGGATTTTCCAGGCAAGAATACCGGAGTGGGTTGCCATCTGCACCCCCACGTGAAGTTGGTGCACCAGAAATTACTTATATCTGAGATGGGCCCTCTTCTTGTGCGGTCCCCATCCTTGTCTTGGATTCCAGGCTCACACACCTATCTCCCTACCGAACACTTTCACTTGACCACCCCACCACAAACTCAACAGGGACAAACCTCTGTTCACTGTGCCCCCTGCCTTCTAAAGCCAACAACTGCTCCTTCAGGATGCCACTGAGAAACCAATTACCCATCTTACGCAGGGGGGAGCGCATTGCTGGTGCATCTTTAGTTTTCTTCCCCCACCCCGTGTTTTCACTCTGGAATTTTTATTGGACCTGTTCTGTTCTCTTTAAAATATTTCAGACTTTTCTCCAACTTTTCTATCATCTCGCATTCCTGAAGGTGCTAATTCTCTCCTTTCCCTTGTCATTTACCCTGGATTTTGCTAATTGTGGGTCCTGTCATTTTGACTTTGGGTTATCTTTAATAATATTCTTCTTCCTTTTTGTTTTTGACATGGGAACCTTATGTAATCTGGCTGTAGAAATATCCCTTGGTTCAGTTCAGTTGCTCAGTCATGTCCAACTCTTTATGATCCCATGGACTGCAGCACGCCAGGCCTCCCTGTCCATCACCAATACTCGGAGCTTGCTCAAACGCATGTCCACTGAGACGATGATGTCATCCAACCATCCCATCCTCTGTCATCCCCTTCTTCTCCCACCTTCAATCTTTCCCAGCATCAGGGTCTTTTCTAATGGGTCAGTTCTTCGCATCAGGTGGCCAAAGTATTGGAATTTCAACTTTAGTATCAGTCCTTCTAATGAATATTCAGGACTGATTTCCTTGAGGATTGACTGGTTGGATCTCCTTGCAGTTCAAGGGACTCTCAAGAGTCTTCTCCAACACCATAGTTCAAAAGCATCAGTTCTTCGGTGCTCAGCTTTGTTTATAGTCCAACTCTCACATCCATACATGACTACTGGAAAAACCTATAGCTTTGAATAGACGGACCTTTGTCGGCAAAGTAATGTCTTTGCTTTTTAATATGCTGTCTAGGTTGGTCACAGAAATATCCCTAGAGAACTATTTTCAGTTGGCTTCAGCTTGGCCCCAGGGGATCCCACACAGCTGACTTGGGACCACTTTTGAGGTCAGTACAATGAATAGGAGTCCCATCCCTATGCTGGTTTTAGAAATTTGGGCACCAGTCCACCCTATTTCAAATGTACACTTTATGAGGCTAGCTGGGCTTTCACTTGCTCTATTTTTTATGAAATCATTGTTCACTCCAGGACACCTGGAGACAATTCTCTTTGTTTCCCCTTCTCTGGACTGGGGTTTTCCTAGTCCTTTTTTTTCACAGAGGAAGCACTTCTCTGGGGGCCTCGCTTTTGTGGGATTCTCCATGGCTTCTCTGATGGCTCAGTGGCTAAAGAATCCACTTGCAATGCAGGAGACAGAGGAGACACGAGTTCAATCCCTGGGTTGGGAAGATGCCCTGGAGGAGGAAAGGGCAACTCCCTCCAGTATTCTTGCCTGGAAAAAAGCCATGGCAGGCTACAGTCCATGGGGTTGCAAAGAGTCCGACATGACTGAGGGACTGACACTTTGACTTTCAATTGCAGATGCCCACTTCTCTTGTTCCAATCCCCAAGCACTGAAGCATCGGGTCTTCTCTCTAGGTTCTGAATGGCCTGTTGGGGTACTGACCTCAGTGTTCACCAGCCCAGTGCTCTGAGCTTACATCCCTGCTTTGTTTATTTCTTTTATTTTTAAAAAACTTTTTATTTTCCACTCGAGTATAGCTGATTAATAATGTTGTGATAGTTTCAGATGGACAGCAAAGAGATTTAACCACACATACGCCTGTATCCAATTTCCCCCAAATTCCCCTCATTCCCAGAGATGTATCTGGCTCTCTCAAGCTTGCTCAGGCATTAATAAAAATTCTTATATGCTTATTTTTTACCCAAGATTTTCAGGTGCTTTCTTTGGGCATCAGTTCACTCTGTACACTCCTGAAAATCTGAAGGTAACAGTTTGGAAGTGCCAAACACATGATAAAGGAAAGTGTTGGCATAATGCAGAGAAGGAAGAATTTTCTGCCTATGATGGAAAGCCTTTCAGTTTGTGTGAGTGTATGTGTGTGTGTGTGTGTGTTAATCACTCAGTCGTGTCTGACCCTGTGACCCTAGGGACTGCAGCTCACCAGGTTCCTCTGTCCATGGAATTCTCCAGGCAAGAATACTGGAGCGGGTTGCCATTTCCTCCTCCAGGGGATCGTCTCGATCCAGGGATAGAACCCACGTCTCCTACATTGCAGGCAGACTCTTTACCATCTGAGCCACCAAGGGAGCCCTAAAATTATTCTTTTTAAAACAAACACCCATAGCTCTTTAGAACAAGTAACCATCAGCCTTCAGAGGGCAACAACTCTCTTTAATGCCCACATTCAGATCTGGGGCTGAGCACAATAGATGTTTGTTACAGGAATAAACAAAATTAACACCCTAAGGTACACAGAAAACTTCAGATATTAGGAAAGCCAAGAGCCGATAAATGTCACATTCCACAAATAACCAAGACACAGCATCATAGCGATATGGTGGCTACATTTATGACAGGTTAAGCAGAGTCAGTTTTCCTTTGAAAATTTTTAAGGGTCTTGCAAGTTTAACGCTGCCAAGTTCAGCTTGGGGATGACAGCTTTCTGAATAAACTCTCATTTGGGCTTGGTTTCCAGGAAGGCTTTGCCTGGCTTAGCATCCCATCATTATTAGCAGATGGATTCAATGTCAGCCTGCGATAAAGCCGTACCTTCAAGGACTGCCCTGGCACATACCTGGCCAAAGTCAAGTTTTTCTGGAGTTACAATGGAATGGCCAAACAGTAAGCGATGCCCAAGCTCTTCTGGGGTCTAATGGAAGGATCTGGGCATGTGACTTCGGTGAGGATAAAACAACTACAGAGTTTAAGCACAGATCTGATTGCATAATATCATGGCGGTCCAAGCAGGACTTACTGTGTAATTTCGGATGAGAGAGATGTCCGTGCCATCTTGTAGATAGTGGGTTTCTGTGAAACCGCTGGCGATGAGACCTCTGTGGAAAAATAAAAACCACATAAACGTGGGTGTAGATTCACATTGACATGTTGCTCGTGAATATCTAGGCTGGATGGCAGCAAGGGTCCGACTCCCTCCTCACTGTACAGATGACCCCATGAGGCTCTCTTGGGCTTTCAGCCTATTCAGGTTATCCAGAGGACAGCCAGAAGCAGACTCAGCATGCGCTCTGAACAGCAGCCCCTGTCACACCCGCGGTGCCCTCCCCACCCCTCCCATCTCAGGGGTATGCACACACGTGCACACACACAGGCAACACTCTTTTATAAACAGCACGTGTAGATTTTGTGTGTGTGATGAAAATTCTTAGGATTTACTCTCTTAATAACTGACATATGTAACATACAGCAGTAGCCATTACGGTTGACAGAAACTCAGAAGAGGCCCACCCTTCTGAAGTCACATGGCCCTGCTATCTAGAACCAGCAGCTAAGCTCCCTGTAGGAAACATAATTTTGGATCCACAATATTGGCCCCCTAATTCTCCCACAGCTGAGGGAGCCAGCTATCAATATTAAAATGTCAAAGAAGTGTTTCAAACAATGATGAAGTGTTGGAAAGAGTGCTGTAGGTGGGTGGGGGGGGGCAGGGAAATGACCTTGGTCATACTGAAATACTGAATTTCTAGGATGAGTTGGTAGAGGAGCAAAACCCTCTAACTAAAATGGCCTGCGATCTACTAGACCTCCACTGATGGCAGCAAAGCCTGAGTTTGCTTAGGTTTTAAACTATTCTTTGCTTTCTTCTGTCATATGTGCATTNGTCATACTGAAATACTGAATTTCTAGGATGAGTTGGTAGAGGAGCAAAACCCTCTAACTAAAATGGCCTGCGATCTACTAGACCTCCACTGATGGCAGCAAAGCCTGAGTTTGCTTAGGTTTTAAACTATTCTGTGCTTTCTTCTGTCATATGTGCATTCTGTCCTTTTGGACATCACCACGAGTATTTCCTGGGCACCTACTATGTGCTGGGTACACTGCCCGGGGAGGTGACAGACAGAACACAGTGCAGGGTGGGGAGGGCTGTCACAGAGGCAGGAACAGTCTTCCTGGCTCAACAGATACACTGTAGGTGGGGCACAGGGAAAAGGCAAGGCTTTACAGAGAGCGGAGGAGGAGTCTGCCAGGCAAAACTGGGCTGGGAGGAGAAGGGGGTTCCAGGTAGAAGTCGGCAAGGCCAGGAGCCCGGGGGTCTGGAATCCGGGTAGTCAGGTTGGTGGGAGGCAGGGAAAAGCTCTAAACACCCTGCATTTTATCAGTCTGGGCAGTAAAGAGTGTTGTTGTGCGGTTGTTATATAATGTCCAACTCTAACTGCAGCTGGTGATGGACAGGGAAGCCTAGTGTGCTACAGTCCACGGGGTCGCAAAGAGTTGGACACGACTGAGCGACTGAACTGAACTGAGGCTTCCCTGCCCTTCACTGCCTCCCGGAGTCTGCTCAAACTCATGTCCATTGAGTCAGTGATGCCAACCAACCATCTCATCCTCTGCCGTCCCCTTCTCCTTCTGCCTTCTCATGAGTGGAGAGTGTTTGAAACACTGGACTCTGCAGGAGGTGAGGACACGGTGATGATGCTGTCCAGCCTCCCATCCAGGGAACGCATGTCACACTGCTCAGCTCTTCAGGGGTCACTCCACCCGCAGCCCTGTGATGAACCTGGGACCCAAGCGAACACATCTGCAGTCTTCCCTGCAGCCTTCCTGGAGCTGGGGACTCTGGAGAAGCAGGCTTTCCTCTTTGCTCTCAGAGCTTCACACAGATGCACTCAAGGCTTCCTCCAGCCTGGACCCTGGGTGCAGGAGGACACGGCCCCGGGAACACCCAGCCGTCATCAGCTGTGACACGGGACAAAAAGTGGAGTCTTCCAGGTGCCTCGGGGGTCCATGTGGCCTCCCCTTCTCCTCAATCAACCCCTGTCTTTTGCTTCAGCTGGTTCCAGTTGGGCTTTACAACCGAAGTCCTGATTGTTGTTGTTGTTGTTTAGTAGCTAACTCATATCCGACCCTTTTGTGACCCCAGGGACTGTAGCCCACGAGGCTCCTCTGTCCACAGGATTCTCTAGGCAAGAATACAGAGTGGGTTGCCATTTCCTTCTCCAGGGGATCTTCCCAACCTAGAGATTGAACCCGTGTCTCCTGCATTGGCAGACAGATTCTTTACCGCCAAGCCACCAGGGAAGCCTGCCCTGATCAATATGGGAGAAATCAAAGCTGCAATGCTGCGAATGTAACAGATGAGAGACAGAGTTCCCTTGCAAAGTCAGATCTCTTCAGACTCTGTCCAGCCAAGTCCAGAATTGAGAATCCTCTCCCACTTTTACGCGGGTTTCGATCTCTTTAGGACGTGCCTGGTTTAAATCAGCTGGACCATCACGGTGGGTCAGAGCTGTGCTCTACTTAACAGTGAGTCGTCGAGAAGAGCGTGCTAGGAATAAAAAACGCCGACCGCTTCCCTCACTCACTGACAAAGCTCGTGCACGCTCCGTACCCTAACTCTTCCCTCTGCTCAGGAGGAGATCAGCCCTGGTGGAGGAGCCTAACCACCCTTCCGACTTCTGGTCTCAAATCTGCATCTTCTCAGCATCCTCCTCTAAGCTGTCACAGGACCCCCGGGGTGGGCTCGCTGCCTGCAGCCCCGCCTGGAGGGTCAGGGGCAGAGGAAGGAGAGGGACGAGGGAGGCGACGGGAGTCTGGAGAAGGAGTGGTGGTCTTCCTTCATGTGGCCAGAGTTCCAGGGATGGGTGGCAGGTTGGTGACTTTGATGGGACAGCTGGGGACTGGGGGGGCATGGGCCGAGGGCGTGGGGGCTGGGGAGGTCACAGAAACTTTCCTGAAGGTAGTTCTAAAGGGAAGCAGAGAGAGGAGGAACCATCTAAAGGGACAGGGCAGAGAGGGGCAGGTGGCCGGTGCCTAGAGCATAGGTGTCAGCAAGGACAGAGCTTTCGCCCATCCGAGATGGGACCCGTACAGCCTAGAGGTCTTGGTGATGGAGGGGGCTTGGTCAGCTTCAAGACAGCATAAAAAGGAGAAAAAGAAAAATTTAATATAATGGAAGCTATGTTATTAGGACTTATATGCTTTCCCGTTCAATAATCATTTTGCGGTGTGCGCCTCTCATTCGTAACTGAGTAATTCTGTTCCCAACAAGGCTGGATGGGAACATCCTTGTCCATCCTGGACAAGGGCTTCCCAGGTGGCTCAGTGGTAAAGAATCCACCTGCGACATAGGAGATGCAGGTTCGATCCCTGGGTCTGGAAGATCCCCTGGAGAAGGAAATGGCAACCCACTCCAGTATTCTTGACTGGGAAACCCCATGGACAGGGGGGCCTGGAGTTGCAAAGAGTCAGACACGACTCTGCAACTTAAACCACCACCACCACCTTTTGGACAAACCAAGGTATATGAATACCTAATGCTAAGAAGAGTGACACAGAGAGGAGGAATTTGTAGAGCAAAGAGAGAATTTCAAGGCTTTCCAACTGAAAGATGGATGTCCAAGGAGATCATTCCCTTCATGGATGAAAAATACAGAAAATCCATCTGGAAAGCTGGGGATTGGCGAAAATGAGTTTTGGGTCAACTACAGTCAGCAAACTGGTGGATAAGAAGAATGCGGGGGTTTAACAACAGTAAAGTGAATGATGAGGTTTTCAAATGTGACTTAGTCCAGTAATACAAAGACGCGTGAGTATTTCTGCCTAAAGATTCACTATTTTTCATTGTGTCTAAATGCCACTTAAACAGAAACACAAGAACCATCACATTTTGAGTCTAGCAGGTTCCTAAGTCCTCTCCTGGGTCTCCTTGTATTGACAGAGGGGAAATGGGGATGGTCTGAGCACGTCCGCCTATAGCTAAGACACTGAGACATACCCCTTTTCGAGTAGAGTCTGAAAGGGGAACGTGGGCTTGCAGCTTGGACACACGGACACCACTGTGAATATCGCGTCTTCCCAGGCGAAGCCCAGGGAGAATAGAGGCTCGGACTCCCCTGCGGCACCCTGGGCACGGAGAGCTCAGAAATCCCAGAGCTTTCTCCAGCCTCAGTTTCCCATAAGGGACAAGGACATGAGACGGGAGAGAAGCCAGAAGGCCTGGCCTCCGAGGCTGAGGCTCATCCTCCGGGCCCGGGAACTGGGGGTCCGTGGCCCACACGCCGTGTATCAGAACCCACCCCTCTCTGCTCTGATATTGTCTCAGGATCAGACGGTCCAGCCCCCAGCCCCCAGGTTGTGAAGTGCCCAGGGCAGTGACAGGGTGCTGGTCCCACTTTGGGGGGGAGGTCACGGCACTGCCCTGAGGGGAACCCTTCAGTGGCTCCCCACCCACCTGGGGTGCAATCCCAAAGCTTTCCACCACCTGCCAGCCACTCAAATCCTCACCTTCCCAGTGCATCACGCCTGTCTTCCCCATGGCTCACTCTTCCCCAGCCAGCATGCCTTCTGCCTCTTTCTAGAACACTCTGTACCCTCTTCCACTTAGGGCCCTTGCGTTTCCTCTGCCATGCACCTGGAACATTCTCCCCCTGGCTCTTTATGGGGCCGGCTGCTTTCCGTCCTACAGGCATGAGTTTAACCATCTTCGCAGATGGCCTTTCCCAGGTCATCTTATCTAGAGTAGGCTCCACCACCCATATTCCCCACATCACAGAACTCCTTCACTTTCCTCTCTTGTTGATTCATCTGTTCATTTACTTGCCTACACTCCCTCAAGAAGTTAGGCCACCAGAAGGCTCTTTGCTCTCTGTGGCCCCACCTCCAGCCCAGGCACTGTGCTAAGCCCTTTACATGAACCAGTGAACCAGTGAAGTCGTTCAGTCGTGTCCGACTCTTTGAAACCCCATGGACTATAGCCCACCAGGCTCCTCCAGCCATGGAATTTTCCAGGCAAGAGTACTGGAGTGGGTTGCCGTTTCCTTCTCCAGGGGATCTTCCTGACTCAGGGATCGAACCCAGGCCTCCCACATTGCAGGCAGATGCTTTACTGTCTGAACCACCAGGGAAGCCCTTAGGTGCTATTTTTATCCCAATTTAAACAAGGAGGCCACGAGACAGGGAGCTTAGCTGACCTGCCCAAGGTCACACCGCACAGGGCAGCATCCAGGCGCTTCTGCTTCGGAACCTGCTCTCTTAACCGCTGCGTGGCACTGCTTTTCCCAGCTGGTCAAGAGATAATTGCCGAGCACCTGTCGTACACACTGTGCCAAGTGTTGGCTGAATACACGCTGAGCAGAATAACGGATGGATGGAAGCGGGGACGGACGTGTGGATGACTGGATCTGAGGGCCACGCTGAAGCCACATTCTCTTTCTGTCTAAGGTAGTCCCCTCGCAGGTGGCACTAGTGGTAAACAATCTGCCTACTAATGCAGGAGACATAAGAGATGTGGGTTCGATTCCTGGTTCGTGAAGATCCCCTGAAGGAGGGCATGAACCCACTCCAGTGTTCCTGCCTGGAAAATTCCCTGGAGAGGAGCCTGGCGGGCTATAGTCCATGGGGTCATCAAAGAGCCGGACATGACTGAAGTGACTGAGAACACACACCCCCCTTCCCAACCCCAGTAACACCTGACTCTCAACCCTCTTAGGTACCATGACCCACCAAGGGGCCATGGAAGAAACTGGGAAGTCACGCAGGTAAAACTTTCTGAGAGGTATGTTTAATTTAAAAGGGGCTGGAAGTCAAACGTCCCTGGAGAAAGCCGAGGGAAGTGGATGGACAATGGCCATATTGGAAATGTGACAGCAATGCACCCGTGTCCCTTAGATTTCCCCGAGGAGAAAATCCAATTAGATAGATTCTGTATGTCAGCAAATGGAGACAGAAGGTGAATGCATAATTTCATGAGAACATTCTTTTTCTCTGCTTATTAGATTAGCTGATCTAATGAGGCATTCTGTTCCTCTCTACACCAGAAAATAAAATGCCAGGAATTGATTTTGCCATTTTCCATTTGTTTTGTTGTTACAAGTGGTACCTCAATATTCGCTCGTTTAACCAACATCTATTGTGCTGGACATTGGGTATAAGACCCCAAGAGCTCACCATCGGGTGGAGGACAGACCCAAAGAGTGGTCAGAGCCCCGTGATAGAGATACACCCAAAGCACTGTGGGAGTTCAAGGAAAGGCTTCTAACCCAGGGGGAGGTGGTACCCAAGTGTGTCATGGAAGATGGGGGAGTCACGTTGAGAGGGGTTAGTGAGGTGGGAAGTAAGGAAGGATGAAAAGAGAATATTCCAGATGAAGTTACTGCATCTTCAAAGGCAGGGAGGCCTGGAGGGTAAGTAAACAGCATGGTAGTGGGGGATAGGTACAGGAGGGTAAGACTCCATGGAATCCCAAGTTGTTGAGGTGCAGTTTGGGGTAAGGAGATGTGCTGTTGTTCAGATCAGCAGGTTGGGAACAAGTGTCACTGACTTCATGCCATGCAATGCATGCATGCGTGCTAAGTCACTTCAGTCCTGTCGGACTCTTTGCGACCCCGTGCACTATAGCCCACCAGGCTCCTCTGTCCATGGGGATTTTCTAGGTCAGAATACTGGAGTTGCCATGCTCTCCTCCAGGGGATCTTCCCCACCCAGGGATCAAACCTGCATCTCTTATATCTCCTGCATTAGCAGGCAGGTTCTTTACCACTAGTGCCCCCTGGGAAGCCCCCCGCCATGCAGTAAGGGACCATTAAATGTGGCAAAGATCTGAGCAGATAGAAGCTTTGGAGCTAGAGGCCACTCTGACTGTCGTTTAAGTAAGACTCTGAGGGGGAAGAGGCCAACAGGCAGAGGAAGGTTAATTAAGAGACTGGTGGGAGTCTCTGAACAAAGAGGGGCCAGACCAGGACAGGAGCCTTTGGGGTGGGAAATTCAGGAGACAGGCAGAATTGGGAACCTCAGTTGTCAGCTGAGACGGGTGAGTCCCAAGGAGGGAAAACGAGAGGATGAACTCAGCCTTGAGGCTCGTGGTGAGTGCAAGGGGCCTGAGGTCAGTCTCCTGTATCTTCCAGCTAGCAGCTGACTCTGAGACCCTAAGGTGTAGGAAGTGGCTTGGAGTGAAGACAGAGAGGCAGACCCTCAGTCAGCACATGCTTGCTTTATAAGAGAACAAGTAACATCTCGCCCTTTCCAGCTGAGTGTTTTCTGATGTCAGAGTCTTTGGTGGTGGATAGGGCTGAGAAATGATCATTTAGAATTTACAGTAAAACGTTATATTGTAGATACATAATGATTTTATACATACCTCCTTTTAAAATTTGTTGCATTTCTGAAATGATTTCTGTATTGAAATAAAAACCATTACTCCCAAATTGCTTTCTTGGGGATCAATATTGAAATGCCCTTACTCTAAAATTGACCATTACATAATTTAGTTATATCGTTTAAATGAGATGGATTTCACCAAAATGACACAGTTTATTCCCCAAAGCATAGGAAAGCAGGAAGTAATACCTGCTCACTCTTCCCTTTGAGAGGGGGGCTCTTTCTGTAGCCCCCACCTTTGGAGTGAGGATTGCATTCTGTTGCAGGATTTTCCCTGTTCTATTCTGTTTCCTATTGACTTGTCCTCTCGCATATTGAGCTAAGGGACAAAAACTACATTCCGAAGCCTAGCATAATGCCTTGTTGTTTTTGTTCAGTTGTTTAAGTCATGTCCAATTCTTTTGCAACCCCATGTTCTGTAACCCACCAGGCTCTTCTGTCCATGGGATTTGCCAGGCAAGAATACTCAAGTGGGTTGCCATTTCCTCCTCCAGGGGATCTTCCCAATCCAGGGATTGGACCCAGGTCTCCTGCATTTGCAGGTGGGTTTTTTACCACTGAACCACCAGGGAAGTCCAATATAATGCAGAAGCGTAATCAATAAATAGAGGCACAAACAGAATCACTGTCACAGAAAATATGCAAAGAACTGACCCATCGGAAAAGACACTGATGCTGGCAGAGAGCGAAGGCAGGAGAAGGGGGAGACAGAGGATGAGATGGTTGGATGGCATCACTGACTCGATGGACATGAGTTTGGGCAAGCTCTGGGAGTTGGTGATGGACGGGGAAGCCTGGCGTGCTGCAGTCCATGGGGTTGCAAAGAGTCAGACACGACTGAGTGACTGAACTGAACTGATCACAGAAAAGCAACCCAGTTTGGATAGAATGTAGTCAAACTAATTGGATCAGTAAAAGAATAAAAGAAACGTCTTTTTTTTTTTTGTGGTTCGAAATTGTTATCACTGATCATGGAGGGGGCATGCGGGATGGGAATGATCACATTCCCTTTCTTGTTATTTCAAGAGTTCCAAACGCTGTCAGGTCATCAAGACCCATCCTGACAACTTGACATCAACATTAGAACTGCTTAAATGACAGAAACAGGGAAAAGGAAGCTTAGAGATTGGCATCAATTACTCTGAATATGAAAATCTCATTGATGACATGTCATCTTTTTCCTGTTATTTCTTTGAAGACGATGAGAATGGTTTGTGGGTTTAATTATTTTATGCAGCATATTCAAGCCAAAGCATCATAAGACAGCGCTTGTTTGTCAATGGACACCAGAAGGCACTTCAGTCACTTTCTGCAAGGAAGTGAGGCTTCAGTGATCTTCCTAGTGAAACCCATTTGGTATTCAAAAGATTCATCCCAGTTTTCTCCTGAAGATTTACTCCATTGCCAATTATTCCACAAATTACAAAATCATTCATATATAAATTCGGGTAATGGTTTTCTTTTATGAGAATTTGGAAATACAACTCCAAAGCTTTCACATGGCTTGGAGTGTTAACAAAACACATCGTACAATAAAAATCATAATTAAAACTCATGAAAAGGGTTTTCCGAGTTACTAAAAAGAATATATTTTATTGAAAAATTACCTATTCCCCAACCAGAGCTAAAGTAAATACAGAGAAAAGACTGCGGAAAAAAGCCAGTATGTACCCTGATAGGATTCTGGATTCTTCTATAACCTGGAAGAACTTGTTCTGGTTTTTAGTGAACAGTCTATCTAGATGGACTGGAATCATGGGGCTCAAGGCTGGCGTCATTAGATCTTATGGATGATTTTTTAAAAAACTTAAAAAAAAATCCTTTGGCACACGGGATCTTAGTTCCCCGAGTGGGGACTGAACCTGTGCCCCTTCATTGGCAGCCTGGAGCCATAACCACTGGACCACCAGGGAAGGTCCCTCTGGATGATTTTATGGCAAGATCAGAGCACTGAACGATTCTCTATAAAGACAGTGCACTGAAGTAAGAAGTAATGGGAGGAAACTGAAAGTAAAAGAGAGAATCAGAGACCTGGTGTTTACCACACCTGAGCTCTGCCTGAATTTCTTTCAGAATGTAAGCTTTGAACATATTTATGACTTTGTTTTCCTTATGGGAAGAGTTACCATAAGCTGTTAAATAACACATGCTCTGGCTCCTTGATTTGGGGCTGAAGCAAGGTACCACCACCACCATTATCCACGTCCTGTTATCTCCATCAGCTTGTATGTCTCCCTCCTATCGCTGCTGTTCGTTGGCTCACAGCACATCGGGTGCCAGGCCACCTGCTTGTCACGTGCACATTCTTCCTTTCCTTGGTAGAGAC